ACCAAACTGTAGAGAGGTTCAGGTAGTTGTAAGCTATAACTTATCGAATAGGTTATGATAATAACTAAATTAATATGTATAAAATATTATTTCAAAAATCTTAATTAATTTAAATTTCAACAGATTTAACAAAATATTATCTTGGCAGGTTACATACATTTATATACTTAAACCCGGCAACGACGGGTAATTCAGCTAGTATATATATATATATTATTTAAGTCTAAACAATAAGTCTATTATTATTATACATTGTTATTTAGGATTTAAATTTATTATTTATATAATTATAGGAAATAATGAATAACGAATTACTGAATAATGAATAAAATGTAATAAATAAAAATCTCGGAATAATGAATAACGAATAATAATACAAATTAAAATAATGAATAAAAATAAAAATCAATAATAAAATTAAGAATAAATCAATGAAGAATAATTTTTTTTTGAAATAATCAATTGAATAATATTTTAATCGACTAATAACAAACTCTTGTTACGAGTAACATGATAAGTTATCATTGATAACATTTAATTAATATTGACATTATCCATGCATGCTGGAGAGCCTATAATTTTTCGTGTAAAAATATTAAATATCAACTCTATTCAGACAATGCTACAAAATTTAAATGAAAATTTTTGTTAAAATTCTGTAAACTAATAGTATCACAAAAATGAATCATAATATTTCTTAACGACAAAGTGAAAAATAAGTGGGTACTAGGTATTCCAGGTATTTTAGGTAGGCATAGTATTTTAATTGGGCGATGTTTTTATAATAACTTTATATATTATACAAATAAAATACATGATGCTGATTAGTAGGGGTCGGAACTTAATACACTTAAAAAGTACTAAAAATGCTCTTATGCATTTAAAAAAGTAAAAATATGCACTTATATTATTTTGTTTTTGTACACTAAATTTTCATTTACACAAATATTTTATAAAATTATAAATATAAAAAAAAACAAAGTAGTTAAAATAATTCTAAATTTTAATTTTTAATCATAATTTAAAAAAAATAATAGTAATAATATTACATATATATAGCATAAAAAAAGTTTCTTAAATAAAAATGCATTTGTTGAATGTTCAATAATTAATGAGTTATTTTCCTAGAAAAGTATTTATAAAAAATCGTCATATTTCGATAACAGCTGTTTCTATTTGATATTTGTATAATATTTTTTTTTAGATAAAGCTAGTATATAATAGGATATAATAGCTATAGTTATAATTTTTTATATATATTAACCAATAGAGGAAAAAATATCGTTTTTAATGTGAAATGGAAATTTGAAAAAATACGATACAAGAATATCAAGGAATTTCTCTCAATATTAATGTATTTATTTTTTTTTATTCTTCAAATTTTCAAACTGAATCTTCAAAAATTATAAAATATGCTCTAAAAAAATTCTAAATCAAGAAAACTTTAAAATCAAAAAATATGCACTTTTGCAATATATGCAACTTCTAGCTCACTTAGCAATAAATCTAATGGTGCAAAAAAAAACATGCAAATGCAACAACTTCCAAGCCCTATTGATTATTATTAAATTTATATACACAAGTGATATTCGTGAGTGTTATATTATAATAAAAAAAATTTATTTAATTAAAATAGAAACAAAAAAAGAACTTCATTGTTTTTTAGAAAAAACCGTTTTTTGAAAAAAGAGAAGATAATTCATTTTATTTATGAAATTAAAAATATTTTAGTATATCTAATTAATGAACTGAAAGGTGGCAAGAAATCTTCCCATTCGATATAATATGTTTACAAATTAAGAATAATCTATAACACAACTGATTACTAATTATGTCTTACTCATTTAATTTTAATTTTTTTTTTTTAATTGATATGTATAACTCAGACATTACACATTAATTAAATATTAACATTATCTGTAACATAAATACGATTCTGCAATATTTCAAATTCAACATTGCTGTGGAATCAGATTATAAATGCTTATATATGACAGTAATAATAATTTTTAAAAAATAAAAATAAAATGCCGATTAATATGTTATAATATAAATTATTTTATTTTTTCGCAAATTATATTTGAATGTATGAAACATTATTTTTTAATTAAAGTAACATCTTTTAACTACAGAAAAAAACACAATAACTGAACAGAATCACAATAAAAATAATAATTAAATCATACATTTTTTTTCAAAAAATTGGTTTAAAAAATAAGAATAATTTGTTATTATTAATATTCACAGGGTTTATTCTTGATATTTATGGTTAGTTATTGATAAATATTGAAATAAATTAGCTATATTTTTTAAAGATTTATACTCATCATATACCTTAATTATAGTTGCGATCTATAATAGCGATATTATATACAACAAAAATAGTATCTAAGTTACAAGTTTATACACTTATACTTCACAAAAATAATTTGCGGAGAAAATTGTTCACTAATAACAACTCAAAATATGGACACATAGTAAGAACCAAAACGTCTGTATGTATGTACGTACGTACATATAGTACATATTGTACATCTGTATCGTCTGTATGTGTTAACAAGCATTTATAAACGGATTTTATGGCAACACTGCAGTTGAAATCTTGCAGAATCGTGTATTTAAATATATATATATGTACACGAAATTTACAAAATAATTTATGTTTATAAATGGTTATGAAAATCTATACGATTCCGTAAAATTACGGAATCATTCTTAATCGGCAAATTACGACCCATTTAGGTTGATGATTCTTCTACCCTTCCATTCCACCCCTACAATCTAAAGAAAAAATAAACCTGATGAGATAATTCTGATAGATAACCAAAGAGTTGCAACATCAATAACGACAAAATATTTTTGTTTCATAATCAGAAGAATTTTAAAGCATAGTACCAATGTAGAAGCTTCAACATACCTTTTAAAACATTAACAACATAAAAAATTAAATCAAATTAAATTGCATTCAATTAGGTACATTATAACATATAATTCATCAAAAAAATAATACACAATTTCTATGTCATGATGATAAACTAATTTACTAACTATTGGCTCAATATAGATCAAATAATTTACTTGATTAAAAATTAAATAACAGAGAAAGTCAATTACAACTCAGCACCCATTACTTGCAACAGAATATTAAGATTCTTTATTATTCCTTAAATATTTGATTAACTTAACACCATATATCAAAATAAATATGTACCTTAATAAAACCAAAATAATTAAATTTAATTAATTATTTAAAATGTACAATTTTTAATAAATGTTTAATCATTGCATATGATAATGTACTCAACTTAATCCATAATATCATATTAGTTGTAAGTATTAAATATATACTATGTATAATGTTAAACAATAGAAACAATATTTTCAATGACAGACAAAGCAAAGAATTTTATTTTTAAGTACCCATAGTTATTATACTCATTATATACAAATAACTAAAATAACGAAATAATTAATGTGCTCTTCTTAAATGTTATAATTTCTATATTTCTATATTTGGATTTCATTGTTTAAAACATAAAATAAATATGAATATCATAAAATATATCTACATCAAAATTAAATAATAAAACAAAATATAATATGACTATAGAATCATATTTAATTTATTTCCATTGCTACAAGATTAAATTATTTACATTTATATTAGTATAATATTTAATAAAGAAACTTCTTTGCGATATTATTATAATGCAAAAAAAATAATTTAGAATCCATAACAAAACTAAATAATAAAACTGTTAATGTACCTTACCATTTACGAAGATCCTATTCATTATAAATATATTATAAATCAAATAATAAGTCCTTACTTAAGACTTAATTGAATTTCAAGTCCTCTTAAAAATACAATTAATCTAACAAACACCAAACTAAAATTATTTTTCTTCTTGTTAAATTTATGGTACTATTTAATATATAAATACAACAATGAAAATAAGTTGTAATTTATTTAATTAAAGATCAATAAAAGAAAATAGCAATCAAAAAATAAGTATTTCAAATGTTTTGATATCTCAATAAGACTTGAACAGATTTAAATTATTTTAATTTAAGAATTTTTCATCTTACTAAGTACTGTTAACAAAGAAGTCATAAACTATAAAATATTTACTTCCAGTAACTTTTTCAACAAATTATTATATGAAAGCAAATTGAGCAAATAATGGATAAATTAACTTTTATGAAATTTCTATCATTTCCAAAAAAAAATAATTTAGAGATAATTGCATACACAGATATTTCATTTTAAAAACAAAATCATGATTGAATATCATAAATTATAAATAATATTTTATAGTGATCAATTAATTTTAATCAAAACTAAAATGGCTAAAAAGAAAATAGAAAATGTCATTCATCACACTTTTTACAATAGAAACTATAACTTACAATGTATACTAATTTTAATATTTATTAGTACAATATTTATACTTTAAAATTAAATAATTAAAAATATTTAAAAGACGAATAATGTTCTTATGTCAGTCAATGAAAAAATGTATCACGTATAATTTTTTTAATTAATTGTAAATATTCAATATTTATCCAAAAAATACTTTAAAAATATACAAACATTTAAATAACATAATCTAAACACTATTATTTCTAGGTACTTAATGTTTTTGATGGTTCTTACACATATTCAGTATAGTATACTCTTTTAAGCGTAAATGATTAATTTTATTTACATGAGTAAATTACTTTTATTTATGAAATTTCCCTTTAAACCATCATTGTGAATAGTAAAAGTCCAAAAACATTATAAATAGTATTTTACTGATTTAAAAACACGAACGCATTAAGAAACCACTTATGAAGTCATCAATTCGATAATAACTTATGATTGGTTGGAGGAAAAGTAAAAAGCCCAACAAAAACTTCTAACGATGTACGTTTATTTCGTAATAAATTTCAACAAAACAAGACAATTCATAACCATTTTGGCTGCAAACGACAATAGTAACTAAATTTTGGCTTACCAAGTGTAGAACGGTGTTCACTACTTCCTTGTTGGTAACCTGGCCCACCTCAACCAGCCCGATGAGCACACCGAATTTCAAATTGTCTGAGGTAGACATTGAGACGACTTGATCGGGCCTCTTGATGTCACCAAATGCCGTTGGATCTAATGGATCCTCCATCGGTGATGCAGTCTGTATGGCCGATAGACAAAGATAGCACACCTACCTCATCTACAACGGAAACTGTACACGTACACGACAGGAGATAAATAATTTCCTGAATATGAGTTTACATAATATCAACACAATTCATAAGGGATTTAATTAATTAGTCTAGCAGTGGAGTTAAAAAAATCGTATGTATCACTCGAAAATTGTTTACACGGCAGATAAGTATATTGACAAGTCGGCAGTCGATTGGGCAGCGAATGTTTGTGATAACAACCGAGCGACATGATAACAAGTTAACAGTGTTGCCCAGTGTTCATTAAGATATATTTTAATGGAAATTAAGATAATATTTATTTTTTCTACAATTTATAATCAAAATCAAGGGCAAATAAACACTTAATTTCGTAATTGAATAAATTGCGAGCTTAAATACTTGAAAATCGGTCTCTGAACAGATGATTATCGTTTTGCAATTATTAGTCAAAAAAAAAATAAAAGTTATTACACCTAAGTTAAAAATGTTAAGAATAAATACAGACCCAACCGAATGTTATGAAGTGATTTTATCAAAACATTAATAAAAGACATATTATTCTATAAAATAATTATTTACAAATCAACAATTAAATAAATAAATTAAGGTATAAATTTAGTTGCTGTAAAAAAAAAATACTTTACATAGATATATAATTATACTATTTAGGATTGTTAAATAATTGTAATATGTATTCCACCTAATGCATTTAAATGTGCAATAAATTTAAACGATATTTTCAATTACAAATACATTACAAGCAAGTAAGTATTTGAGTAACCGTAATTGATGTTATGATATTATGTACATGAAAAAAGGTTTTAAACAGTAGATAGAATAGTTTTATGTTCAATTATTTTTAAAATTTCATATTTTTATTTAATAGTTTTAAACAGTTTTAAATGTGGTTAAAACCGTTTTAAAAAAAAATGAAAATCAAGTAATTCCCGATCTGGATCATATGAAGTACCAAAGCACAGCAATGCCTGACAAATTCTATATAAATAATATTGTAATTGTTGTAATATTATTATATATTATATTGTTCGTCAACTAGGGTTGCCATAAATTTATAAGGCGAAACCGGGACAAAACAAACAAATTATTGAGTAATATACTTTTAATATATTGGGAGGACCAGTGACGTATACAAGGGGGGTTGTAGAGGTCAGTTCCCCTAGGCCTTTTTTTAAATGTTATAAAATAATGTTCTTAGTGTAAGAGTGTTAAAAACGTAAAAAAAGAAAATAATAATAAAATAAAAATTATGATTTGTTTGCAAATCATCACCCCCTCCCCCCCATACAAAAGTTATATATACGTCACTGAAGAAGACCATTAATGGCCAGCAATCATTGGCGTGCGCAAACTTTGTCCGCAGGGGGGGGGCCCTTAAAAAAAGTGAACCAAAGATTCTTGTACTAAATACAGTATAATTAAATATTTTAAATTTTATAAATTATTTATTTTATTCAAAATACAAATATAAAAATAAATATTCTTTAAACTTACACAATTTATTTCTAAGAAATCCTTATTTACATATTATTGTACTATTTACAACTCCATCCTTCTGTCAACGAGAGTAAGGTTTTTGAATGCATGAATTACATCTTCAATTTTTATATTATATTCAAGTTCTGATTAGTCTGATTAATAACTAATAACTTTATTACATTTATTCACAGATATAAATGCTATACTATATAATTAAAACAGGCTTTACTTTATTCATGTAAAATGTAAAAATGTTCGCCATCTTGTATAATATAGATATACACCTAAATAAGAAAAATCCAGAGTCCACAGGGGGGCCACGGCCCACCCGGTTACCCCCGTGCGTACGTCTATGCCGGCAATATAATATTTAAAAATCTTTTTGTAAAATAAAATATATTATATGTGTAAATTACAAATAATGTTTTTATTATATATTGTTAATCGATTACGATTAAAAATGTACTTTGAAATAAACTGGTCGAAATTAAAAAAATAAACAATACTACATTTCCTTTAGACGTCTAAGCCGGGACATATGGACGTCCTGAAAACATTTTTCGGGACACCGGGACACGAAGTCCAAAACCAGTGACAATCCCGGTTTTCCGGGACGTATGGCAACCCTATGATCAACTGTAATATTTCAATTATCTAATAATCTATCTATTCTTTGGTATTACTAGACATTAGATTAAACTTATAATCTAAACAGTGGTAATACGATATATATATATATAGTATATCAAGTGTATCAATATACCTTTCGGTCAGAGCCGGCTTAAGCAAAAATAATGTACTATGCAAAATTAAATTTTGTTACCACTAAAAAAAAAAAAAAAAATTAAGCTCTAATCTTAACATAGATCCCCGCCCTTTATTTTGAATGTAACATACTTGCATGAAAAAATATTTTAATTTTTTTTATTTTTAAGTAATAACAGGTAATGTTGGAACTATCAAGATATGTTTATAATTTTTTTATTTTAACGTCAAAACTGTAAAGTTATAAATTTATTAAAAATTCATTTGGTGAATGTATTTAGATTTTAGAAATTAGTATGATGAAATATTTATTGCTTTTTAAAATATTTTTGATTTTTAACCTATACAACATATAATAACCTTTAACTTATAACAAATTAACTTTTCAACCTATAACAAGTAACTAAACCTTTTCATAATCTTAAAAAATTAAACAAATTATTATTATAATAATATTAATAAAATAAAATAAAAAAAAATTAATTTTATTTAAATTGACTTTTCTTGCTTTTAATAAAACAAAGCTCTGTATAAGTTTACCCATGTCTAATTCTTCAGTAGAAATATTGACTAATCGACCTTGAGATATATTTTATCGCTAATATTAATATCATTAATATTTTAAGTTTTGTGAAACTCCTTTCGACTTTTACAGCCAGTGGCTTATTTACAAATAATTTTTATTGGGTGATGGGGGGAGAGTGTTATCATAAATATTTTTTATTGGTAAATCAATGTAAAATGGTCAAAATTAAATTACAATATGTTTATTAGCTTCTTATTGAAAAATTTAATTTCATTAATTATAAACTATATGATAAACTCTAGCTTACTTCTTTTATTTGCTAATTTGTCGTTAACTTCATCGGTAGTAATATTTAAATCTGAATGAATCGATAACACGGCAAGGCCATTAAGTCTTTTCTGAAACAAAATGCGATTTTCATCTACCTCCACAATTAGCGGACAACAATTTTTTGTTAACTACAGACTACAACAGTGGTTTTCAACCGGTGTGCCGCGAGCACCCTTGAAGTGTGCCACGATAAATCTATTAATAACTAGTTTTATAATTTTGTATTTACCAGTATTATTATCGATGTTCGGCGAAAACTGATAAGTAACAAGACAGGCTAAATCATTAATCGTAGATACGTGTAATAATATTTAATATTAGT